TTATTCCTATTATTAGCTATATAATATAATATTATCTAATATCTTAAACCGCGTTGTAGTCGGTGCTCACTAGCCATTCAAACGATAGTCGATAAGCCTATCATTAAATTGATAATCGTTGGGCTCGTTAGACTGCGTTGCACAACTTGGCAACGTTTCACTAAATTTCGTCCGGAGTCGTGTCATTTTTTGGGTGCAATATAAAACCTTTTGTCATACAGTGGTCGTCCGCAGTCGTGTTGCAAAAAAGGTAGAGCGTCCGCAATCGTGTTTCACACGTAATATTGATAACCCTGAACAGCATAGGTACCTTTGCTGAAAAACATACAATATTTCTATTTGAAAAATACTTGACACTCATTTGAATTTTCAAAATTGGTCACATCTACCTATTTATCTGACGATCTATCGTCAAGGTGCTTAAAAATTTAAAATTTACATGGATTTTAATATTTCCATCTTTTTATCAAAAATCTTCATCTTCACTTCAGATTTTGTTGCTTACGGATCTCAAAATTCAGTTCTATAAACACGTTAACGGTTACCAAATATCTAAAAATATGGCACTGRGATTAAACTACACCACAACGGATATCCTTTGGTAAATATATTAGAAAATAATAAATGTTACTAAATATAAAGCGCAAGGTATAACCTGGATTTGAAAAGTGTATAATTTTAATAAATTCGAGAATTTATAACGTAATAAAAAAATAAAATATTCTAACTTCAATAAATTCTACTTATCCAAGCAGTTTACTTCTTTTGATATGATTTATATATTTCTAGAATGCCTAGAAATTACGTAGGAAATGTTTAAATCATAATTTTTTTTAAGTGCCACTGTATTCAAATGTATCGTCAAACCATAAATACCTAATGACACTATTTTCACATATATTAACTATAATAAAAAACAAAAACATGTCAATATACAATTGACATTTAAATAAATTTATGTCATAAAGGTTTGTATTAATTAATGTGCCTACATAAAAATTATAATTATTGATGAATTTTCCATTTTCTCATTGGATTTTCATACAAAAAAAATGGTTTTCTTGTATTTTTTTTTAGCTTCCTCGACTTGGTTACTTCGAGGTCTATCTGTAAATCTAGCACGGTAACGCTTCYTACTTGTATTAATTAAATTATCTGTGACACTAACATTATTAGTTATAACAAATAGACAAATCGCTTTCTGAAATAAAAATTATATTTTCTGTAAAATTAGGAATATTAGAAATAGATATAAATAAATATAYWTCAAATGTCCACTATTAATACTTCCGGTTAGATGCAATATTTTTACTGGGAATGTATCTACACCAAATTTGGCATAAAGATTATTATTATAATAAATTTCAAATACATATGGGAAAATATTGCCATCTGCAAACAATTCGCAACAACCACCATATACAGTAGGATTTTCCATATTACGAACCTAATCCTCAGCAGTGGAAAGCTTGTCACCATATGAATTGTAAGCCATATTAACWAAAGTATTCCAATTATCAGAGACATACGAAAAAAATGTATCTCGRAYATCCTGGCATATTTCTTGAGTGTTATAATATAAATGAAAGGAAATTKAACGGAAAAGGCAGGCACCATCACTGATAATTGGTACAACTATTTGAGATGTCAACATTCCATTCACAATAATTTCTTTAATATATGACATCTTTATAAATGAAAGTGAAAAAAATAACTGAATAATAAATAATATCTTATGCTTATATTATATTGCCAATGAAAACCTCTAATCAATAATAATAATAATAAAAATAAATAAATATAATATTAATAATATTAAATATTGTTGATAGATGGCGCCACTATTGTATACTTAAAACTTCTTAATTTTACCTTTAGGGGCTGAATTTCTAAAAAACCTTTCTTAAAGCACGGTGAAATTATAATATTAAGCCACCCTGAAAATTTCAAGCAGATCTGCCCTGTGGATTGGTGTGATCCCTCCGGAGGATAAATTCCTTTATATATATAGATAGAAGATAGATTAAGATATAATTGCTAATCCTTAAATTGCGCTAATGTGTGAATGTTTATAAACCCCCTCCCCTCTAAAAAAATCATAATATAATAAAAAAAAGCATAATCATAATTAGGTTCGTAAAACAAATTATTTCCATTATGTTTCTCATCATTTTCATTGGTTTTTGTTCACAGGTGCAGTGCGACAGATATTCGCGGTCGTACACGGAACTGCGTTATTGCCGTGTGACATTGCGCCACCTATACCCCACGATCCCCAGGACACTGTTATTCTAGTGGTTTGGTACAGATATGAAAAAACTGCAATTTATAGGTAAGTTTCAAATTTTATAATATAGCGTTGTGCTTGGAATTATRTAGTGATTAGACTTTTGGATACTGTCGAATTTTATGTTTGGCTGAAACAATTCACGACGCTGAAAAAATACTACTCTTTATAATAATCATATGAAATCAGTAATAATATGATTATATACAAAAAAAAAATAACAAAACTCTAATGTCATTACATATATTTATATTTAGATATAAGTTAAGAATTTAGTATGTGTAAATGTATGTAATATAATATTAAAATTAAATTATTATTGTACACCGATGTTGTAAGTATAGTGTATGTTTAAAGTTTTTATTCTCAATTAACAAAACCGTTCGATATTTTATAGTAAACAAACTCGTGGGCTCAGAACCAAAATAGGTTAACTTCAATTTTAAAAATTCTTATTTTATAAGTGTAGGTTTATTTATCAACACCTTATATTTCAAACTCAAGAATAACCATTTAGGTGTATTAATTTAAATTTTATCATGAACTAAAGGACACTAAATCAACACAGTTTAGGAATATTACTGATATAACTATTGAATAGTCTAAATATAGAATCTTTGTGTTTACTATAGATCTATCTAAATTGTACATAATTAAAATATAAATTAGTCATCCATGAACGATAACCAAAAAAAATCTTGTTCCTTGTGTCGACTTTACAATAATAAGTTATTAGAATTTTAAATTCTTTTTAATTATCAAAAAATATAAAACCCTATTGTGTAACTGGATTTAGTTCAACGARAAATGCGCATTTAATTCAAAGCAAAAAAGTTAAGATTATGTAAAAAAAATTGAACAAAAATTATTCACAACCAAAGGTTCTATCTGTAGAATGTTCTSGTCTATAATTTAAGTTTCTATATTTTATAGATATTTCATAGGCATTGATTATTCCATTGTTTGAACTTATTTGTTTTTTTTTTTTTAATTTCTCTTGTGACCTTTGAACAAATAATAAAATGTATTACAAATGCTGTGTAAACATTATACTACCTAGATCCTTATCTCGAAACATTAGTAGGTATATTATGTTTTTCCAAAATATATTATTTTTTATAATGTATCGTTTACATTAGGCCAGCGCAATCATTAAATCATAAATAAAGAAAATTTGTGATGAAAGCTAACATACAAATGTTTTACTTRTAGTAATAATACGCCTATATTCTATATAATATAATATTTATATCGTATAATGTACCTGTGTACTTTATCCTCACAGACTCGAATCAAAATTGATTAGGACACATGATTATACCTATATGCGTATAATACAGTAATATAGGTTATCCCAAAAAATATGCTTTCCCCTATTTTTTCATTCATTGAGTTTATGTGAATAYTGATTTTTTGAATTTCTGAGTACACTTAGTTATAATGAGCGTACCTATTTTAAAATACAGCTCATTTTTATTTTAAAGTTTAAAAAGTGTTCTTTGATGTAATCATAAACGAGTTGCAATTCAAATGTTAATAATTTCTGAGTTATTAAACTATACCTAACGTATTATGTACCTACCAGAAGGGAGTATTCAATGATGTTAGGTTTGTATATGATGTATATGTATATATTATAGTGCTAAATCTATACAAAATTTAAAAGTAATTTATGTAAATATATTTGTAAAAGTATTTAAAAATGTTAGGATAGAATTCTAATAGATATTCAAAACATTTTTAAATACCTATTTAAGTATTTATTCCAAATATGTTTTAAAAGTATTTTACCCATTAATTCTGGTCGATAACTTGAAATAGTGGTGCTTCGGCTTATTGTTTCGTAGAGTTGTRATGATAATAACAACTTTGGTTTTAATGGGATCGCTCTGTCTGTTTATTTCTATGTAAATTTATATACGGTTTTTGTGGCGAATACTCTAACGCTTCAGCTAGGCTTAAGAGAAATCTGCCGGATTCAGTGTTTTGTCACGAGCTGAAGGCTTCGTCCTTATTGAAATATTAGGAAATTCATGAGCGTGGTGGGTTACATAGATCAAGTTATGCGATCGACCACAAGTAGGTCTAGCTGTGTTAACGACTGCTACCGTGAATCAGACCTTAGTAGATAGACTCTCAAAAGCGGCCGAGAGGGGATTGCAAGTGTCGATTGTCGTGGATTCTCGTGACGGTCGATCGACGCGATACCACTGTATCCCTGGTACRTTGTTACTWCTGTCAGTTGCTCTAGCCGTGCGCTCCCTCCGATGCGTCCGCACTTCACGGATCAGGTTCCCAGATACTTGACTTGGTGTCGCGGAGTGATTTCAGGTCAGCTCCTGGTCACTGGTAATGTCTCGGATCAGACAACTCGCACGGAGAGTAGCTAGTGTAGCGATGACTATGCTGGTTGTTCACAGTTCGTCAGAGGAAAGTGAGTTGTCCTGTGTTCTCACTGGCTGATGAGGATTTCTACGATAGTCGCTAATTCGTCCTGCCTCGTCGACTTATGGTACTATGTGTGGTGATGCCCAATGGGTTCCTGACTGGCTTATACGAAGGGTCTTCGGATACTGTCGATGGTAGTTTCCGTCGGCGTTGTAGTCACCGTTATCCGGTTGGTGTGACTCGTCCGTCTTCTTGTATTCGTATTTGTTCTATGTTGAAGGCTTATTYGAAGAAGATGTGTTGATTGAAGGAGATGTCTGTAGTCGGGAAACGATCAGTATAAATTCCAAGTGACGTATCGACTATTAAAACTACCGGGTGTTCCCCGTTGGTACGGATCTGGATACTGTCTGTTTGCTGGATTTCTGTATAACGGCCATGAGTAGGGTCTCATTATCTTGGTCTTGACCTCCCCTATCCATGGTCGTATGTATCAGGTTGTTAGTGTAATCTTAAGAATTTTGATTTGGTCAAAAATCTTTACTATACTGTTATTTGCTGTATATCGTGTTCTGATTGATTGGTTCCTTGGAAGGACTGTTTTGTTGAGTAGTGTAACCGTTAGAGGMTTAAGCTTCAAGTGTAGCAACGTTTTATTATCTATACAGTTAGGTAAACCTAGAAATACGAACAAAATTGGTTGAAATAATATTTTTTATTTGATTTTATACTTGCTTTTGAAGCATTAGATTGGCCAACACTGGACATAGTTTTATACATAATTCATTGTGTACCTGCGTGAGACTTAYGGCACTTAATTTCTCTCGAGTCTCGGCGATCTTATTTATGAACAAACAGTAAAAGTCTTGACGATAAAAAGAAAACCAGTATACTATTTTAATAACGATAAAGACATGATTAATTCTAATTTTGTATTTAACTTTTTATAATATTCCGCACGTTTACCTAATTGATTGTATCCGTCAAAACGACCTTATCATGTTAGAAAATCACAATCAATGTATTCATATCGTATAATTATGTGATTATGACGTGTKTGATTATTAACAATTATGTGGRTATGTGGGTACGAGGGTAGCGCCATGTATCGATATTTTATGTTATCGTTACAACGGTGGAATCCCATCGTTTCAATAAAATTCTTACGGACTGAAAGCCGCTTTTTAAATTGAAATGTGCATTTGAGCAATAAAAAAAAGTTTAAAAAAAATGCAGTTTGCTTTGTGGGTAACGATAATACTATGCGAATATTATCCCAATTAGGTTTCAGTATAAAACTCGGTGGGAGCCGCGTAATGGCACAGGCCACCTGCATTAATGTAGAGAGAGYGGTAATGCTGCAGGGAGTCATGGGAATTGTACGCCTCCACCGCCGCTACCACCACTATCACCAACGATGGTTCTGACATTAACCCCACTCGCACTTGTCTCAGCCTAAACCTCCGCGCTGAATGGTTAAAAGCACTCGAGACACTGTGTGTGCACTGCGAGCACACACGTACTTGCCTTTGCGGTTATTGTCTTTAAACCGGCAATGGATCCCGACTCAAAGTGACTGCACTAATACAGCACGGAGAGAGAGAGA